GACTAAGATTCTCTCACAAGCAAAACATGATCACACCTTAGTACTCTTTGGGTGTTAATCACATAGCAATGTGAACTAGATTACTGAATCTAGTAAACCTTTTGGGTGTTGGTCACATGGCGATGTGAACTATGGGTGTTAATCACATGATGATGTGAACTATCGATGTTAATCACATGGTGATGTGATCTAGATTATTGACTCTAGTGCAAGTGGGAGACTGAAGGAAATATGCCCTAGAGGCAATAATAAAGTTATTATTTATTTCCTTATATCATGATAAATGTTTATTATTCATGCTAGAATTGTATTAACCGGAAACATAATACATGTGTGAATACATAGACAAACAGAGTGTCACTAGTATGCCTCTACTTGACTAGCTCGTTAATCAAAGATGGTTATATTTCCTAACCATGAACAAAGAGTTGTTATTTGATTAACGAGATCACATCATTAGTTGAATGATCTGATTGACATGACCCATTCCATTAGCTTAGCACCCGATCGTTTAGTATGTTGCTATTGCTTTCTTCATGACTTATACATGTTCCTATGACTACGAGATTATGCAACTCCCGTTTGCCGGAGGAACACTTTGTGTGCTACCAAACGTCACAACGTAAATGGGTGATTATAAAGGAGCTCTACAGGTGTCTCCAATGGTAGATGTTGGGTTGGCGTATTTCGAGAGTAGGATTTGTCACTCCGATTGTCGGAGAGGTATCTCTGGGCCCTCTCGGTAATGCACATCACATAAGCCTTGCAAGCATTGCAACTAATGAGTTAGTTGCGGGATGATGTATTACAGAACGAGTAAAGAGACTTGCCGGTAACGAGATTGAACTAGGTATTGGATACCGACGATCGAATCTCGGGCAAGTAACATACCGATGACAAAGGGAACAACGTATGTTGTTATGCGGTCTGACCGATAAAGATCTTCGTAGAACATGTAGGAGCCAATATGGGCATCCAGGTCCCGCTATTGGTTATTGACCAGAGACGTGTCTCGGTCATGTCTACATTGTTCTCGAACCGTAGGGTCCGCACGCTTAACGTTACGATGACAGTTATTATGAGTTTATGCATTTTGATGTACCGAAGTTAGTTCGAAGTCCCGGATGTGATCACGGACATGACGAGGAGTCTCGAAATGGTCGAGACATAAAGATTGATATATTGGAAGCCTATGTTTGGATATCGGAAGTGTTCCGGGTGAAATAGGGATTTTACCGGAGTACCGGGAGGTTACCGGAACCCCCCGGGAGCTATATGGGCCTTAGTGGGCTTTAGTGGAAAGGTGAAAGGGGCAGCCCAAGGTGGGCTGCGCGCCTCCCCCCTCCCCTAGTCCTATTAGGACAAGGAGAGGTGGCCGACCCCCCTCTCTCTCTTCCCCCCCTTAAGGAATCCTATTCCAACTAGGATTGGGAGGGGGGGAATCCTACTCCCAGAGGGAGTAGGACTCTCCTGGCGCGCCCTCCTTGGCCGGCCAGCCCCTCCCCCTTGTCTCCTTATATACGGAGGCAGGGGGCACCTCTAGACACACAAGTTGATCCTTGAGATCGTTCCTTAGCCGTGTCCGGTGCCCCCTGCCACCATATTCCACCTCGATCATATTATAGCGGTGCTTAGGCGAAGCCCTACGACGGTTGAACATCAAGATCGTCACCATGCCATCGTGCTGACTGAACTCCTCCCCGAAGCTTTGCTGGATCGGAGCCCGGGGAGCGTCATCGAGCTGAACGTGTGCCAAGAACTCGGAGGTACCGGAGTAACGGTGCTTGGATCGGTTGGACCGGGAAGACGTACGACTACTTCCTCTACGTTGCATCAACGCTTCCGCTTCGGTCTACGAGGGTACATAGACAACACTCTCCCATCTCGTTGCTATGCATCACCATGATCTTGCGTGTGCGTAGGAATTTTTGAAATTACTACGTTCCCCTACACCATTTCACCTTAGTTAGCTAATAAACGATCCATTCAACTAAGTTAGCTCATAAATGATCCATTTCACCTTAGTTAGCTCATAAACGATCCATTTCAACTAAGTTAGCTCATAAATGATCCATTGCACCTAAGTTAGCTCATAAATGACATATACTTCTTCTTCTAGTCTTCTTCTTCTAGTCACCTTTTTCTAACTTTCTTATTTGCCATTTTGCAGTTTTCATTCACTTCACGGAAGCTATCTTGCTATGATGGAGTGCTTATTTTTTTCTTTCATTCTCTTCTAGTATTCTTCTAGCTTGCTATGATGGAACTTGCTATCTTCATGAAACTTTGCATTGTAATATGTGTGGATATCGATGGAACAATGTGTATGTGCAACTTGCTATGTATGAATGGATGGAACTATATGTATGTACGATGAAACTTATGTGCTGGACATGTCATATGTTTGCTGTGAAATAGCCCTGTGAAATAATGCAGGCTCTTTGCCGTCTGCCACCGATGGCAACGGGCTCTTTGCCGTCCGCCGCGGACGGCAAAGAAGCCACGTGGCAGCCACCTGTGTTTCCTGGGAGCTGACCCATTTGGTCAGTTTGCCTACAGTGGCGGACGACAAAACCTTTGCCTACAGTGGCAAACGACAAAGGATAACCGCAGTTGCCTACAGTGGCGGATGGCAAAGCCTTGGTGGGCAGTGACGTCCAGCTGACGTCATTTGGCCGACGGCAAAGGCCTGATGCTCTTTGCCGTCAGCTGGCGGACGACAAAGACTGCCGTTAGCCACCTAACGGACTAACAGCGAATTAATTGCCGTCGCCTTTCTTTGCCGTCAACCGCTGATGGCAAATGCCCCTTTGCCGTCCGCTTCAAAAAGCAGACAACAAAGAAGGTCTTTACCGATCCTATCTTTGCCGGAGCCCTTTGCCGTCCGCGGCAGACGACAAAGGCTTTGCCGTCTGCCTTGGCGGACGGCAAAGTAGCTGATTCCTGTAGTGACTCCCCATGCTTCATTCTCTGTCAATACCAACCCTCTCATCCAATCCGATAGTTTCTTCCAGCGACTTTGCACCCGCAGGAGATCTCTTGAGGTGTGCGTCCTTGAAAAAGATTCCTCTAATGCCTTCTTCCTCACACATGCAAACCAACATTCTCACTCGAGAGAAAACCCTAACCTAGCCACCAGACACGGACTCTACTGCCGCAATCACCGTCGCCGTCGAAGAACAGTCACCCATGAGTTTTGGAAACCCTATGCAGGCTCCCAATCGCCTCTAGAGAAACCCTAACCACGGCGGACCAGCATCGTACTGCTACCTTATCCTTTCAATTTTGTCTTCGAGCACGTGGTTCAAATTTGAATTTGGAACCAATGTTTTATCCACAAGAGGAGGGGCATGTTTGTTTCGTTTTTGATTGGATTCGAAACACCTATAGATTCTCTTTACTGGCAGAGTTGATTTATGCGGTCTATAGTTTGTTTTAGGTTTGATTGGACTCAAATCACATATGGATTCACTTCAGTTGTAAAGCCGATTCACGGAATCAATTTCGCCACTGAAGCACACTTTGAGATGCTTCAGGCAATTGCAGTGACAACAGCCTGAGTTAAGATGTTGCTTCACTGACAAAGCTTATTCGGAATAGCTTTTTTGTTTTATCTTCTACATCCAGCTTCACTGACAAAGCTGAATCTGATATCTAAATCTGAAACAAAATGACTGTTGAAGCTCACACAAAATAGTTGTTTGCTTCAGATTCTAGATTCGACCCTGTTTATTTCAACTTTGATGGGATTCGAATCACCCATGGATTCACTTCAAAAAAATAATAAAAGATCTGATATCTGAATCTGAAGCTCAATAAACAGAGGTGATTCGAATGGAACCGGAGCCTGGACTGGAATGGTCGAACCAGACCCAGACCCAGACCAGCACGGGAAGAACCGGGTGCACGTTGACGTTGGGCCTGGCCGGCTGGCCCTCTCCTCCTCTGGTCTCGTTTCGGAGCAGAGCAGAGCAGCGCGACGACTCCTCTTGGACTGGACTCTCGCTCCTTCTTCCCCCCCTCCCGCCCCGCTCCGCCTCCGCTTCCCGCCCAGTGGAGCACGCTCGCTCGCCCGCTCCCACCGCCATTCCGGCGAGGTAAATCCCTCCTCCCCCTCCCCCTCTCCGTACACGGCAGCCAGCAGCCGCCGCGGTCCGAGCGCGTACCACGGGGTCCTCGAGGCAGGCGCCAGGGCTCTCCCCCTCCCTCCGCCGCCAAGCCCGGGCGCGCCTGAGCCAAGCTAGCCAGCTAGGGTTTCCGGTTCCGCAGCTCCGCCCCGCGCCCCTCGCGACCCCCCGCTTCTCCCCCCGTCGGCCTCCCGCGCGGGCGAACGCTCGCCCCGCGCCCGCGCCCTAAACCCTAGCTAGCCCGCTAGTTCCGAATCTGACGGGCGGGGGCTCCGGGCTCGCTCTCGCGGCCGCGGGTGGAACGGCGATTCGCGGCCCCGGGCTCCTTCGTGGTGGATAATTCCTGGGATCCTGGAGTGGTTTACACGCGGGTGTGTGGCGTAGTGTAGTGCAGTAGGATGCGGTCTTCGGGCTGCTGCTTCCTTACCCTGCACGAGTTATTTGTTGGCGCAGTCATGTATAGTTGCTGGCAGCCCTTTGGTCTGTTGGATTGATCTATCCGTGCCTGGAAATCGGAGGCAGCGGTGCGCTGTCTGACGGGTCTGTGCGGCATTTTGTGACTGTTTCGTTCAGCTCTTGGTTTCTGAGATGCTGAATAATGATCACCCCTAATTCGAGCCGGACCAGGAAAACTTGGAAAAACCTTAGTTGCTATGCTCAATTCTACTGGAAAAACCGGACCACTGTAATCCATCCACATTAATTTTGGTCGCGGTTGCAGCTTCAAACCAGAGCACCACCTTAGCACGGTTGTTTGCTCACACATTTGCCAGCCGGCCTGTAGAGTTTTAGTTCACCCTGATGCTCTATTCACGAGTGGTCTTCCTCTGTTTGCAGGAATTAATGGTGGTGTGATCTCTCCCCGTCTTAGCCATGTATATAAAGAAGGTAACTGTGCTAGCTTCAGAATGACTTTGTCTGTACCATTTTTTTATCATGTCACTGCTTCATCCTCTTGACGTAAGAGCTGTCTGTGCAGGTTATAATCGAAGGGTTTAAAAGCTACAGGGAGGAGACCTCGACAGAACCTTTCAGCCCCAAAGTTAACGTAGTCGGTAATCTTCCTCTCTCTGTAATGAACTTGGCCATAGGGTTCTGAGGTTCATGTGTTTCGGTTGTCAGCTGCCTCATGGTAACTTAAGGTGTTGTCACTGTCAGCCTGTCAAACAGCCACCTCCAGGTCTCTGGGGCCTGGACCAGATAATCCTTATGTAGTTAGCTAATCGCATACTTACTAGATGTTGATCCAAGATTCAAGTCATTGTTCAGTGTTTCTCTGACATTTTACATCGTTCTCTAGATTTGCATAGCCATCACATGCACGTTCGAATTAAATAAATGAAATGTGCTCTTGTGATGACTTCTTTCTGTTAAAACTCTATCGTGCTTTCATTATTGGCTTGCATGGTAGCGATTTCCATTCTTTGTCTTTCCTGATGACATATTTGGTTAAGTACCGAAGTATCAATTTATTGCAAGTATCATAGAAGTCCACTTTAGAGTTCATCACATAGTTTTTGTGCTGCTAATGCACTAACATTGATTTAACTGTTTGTTGCAGTTGGTGCAAATGGATCTGGCAAATCAAATTTTTTCCATGGTAATGCCTTAAAACATCTGCTGAATTACTATTCATTCTTATGGTTATTGACGCTTGTGTGCTACTCCCATCCTAATTTCACCGTGCTGAATGCTGTAGCTATACGCTTTGTCCTGAGTGACATGTTTCAGAACCTGCGCAGTGAGGACAGGGGAGCTCTTCTCCATGTATGCCTTCTCCTTCATTGATCAATCTGAATACTTAAAATAGGTGACTGGTGTTTGATACTAATAACCATTGCCAGGAAGGTGCTGGACACTCAGTCGTATCTGCTTTTGTCGAGATAATTTTTGATAATTCAGACAACCGTATTCCAGTAAGTCCTCTAGTTTATTAAGTGTTGGTATTTGATTAAAGTCATCCACTTCAGTCTCAAGCTGCATATTTCACTTGTAAAAGTGTCAATACCCACATCATCCATATGAGTGCATGCATATCATTATCATAATAAAAACTACTCTGCTCCACTTATACGGTTTGTCCAGAGCAACACATCAGCACGTAGATTTTGCAGTAGCCCTCTAAATTATGAAATTTGGCTGCAGGTTGATAAAGAAGAGGTACGCTTGCGAAGGACAGTTGCTTCAAAGAAGGATGAATACTACTTGGATGGAAAACATGTCAGGTATGTTGGCTTATGCCCTAAACCAGTAAAACAGTGTTGTACCTTGTCTCTTGCTCAGCTCCACTTTTTATTGCTGTTTTGTTCAGTAAAACTGAAGTCATGAATCTGCTGGAGAGCGCTGGTTTCTCTCGATCTAATCCATACTATGTTGTACAGCAAGGAAAGGTAATAAATATTCATCTGATTGTTCCCAGGATTTGTTCAGATATAATATTGACAATTTTTGCATGTCTAGATTGCATCCCTTACTCTAATGAAAGATTCTGAACGACTGGATCTTCTCAAAGAGATTGGTGGTACGCGTGTTTATGAAGATAGACGTCGGGAGAGCTTGAAAATAATGCAAGAAACAGGCAAGTTTAAATCACCAAAAGTATCTCTATAATCTTTCTGAGTGGCCTGCTGACATGTCCATTAACTTCATTAACAGCCAATAAAAGGAAGCAGATTGATCAAGTTGTCCGCTACCTGGAGGAGAGACTGAGAGAACTTGATGAAGAGAAGGAGGAACTAAAGAAGTACCAGCAGCTGGACAAACAGAGAAGATCACTTGAATATACTATACTGGACCATGAACTAAATGATGCTAGAAATGAATTAGCTTCGGTAATACTCGCCCTTTTTGTTATGTATGTTTACTTTGGGTATTATTGTGTTCTGTTAGGCAAGTTCTAATAGTCTGTCTTATGAGTGAATGCCTTAAGCTGAGTTTTGATGAACAAACCATTAACGTTTCCCACTCAGATGATCCTTCAGCTGAGTTTTGATGAACAAACCATTAACATTTCCCACTCAGATGACCACCCGAGTATCTTTTCTATTGTATATCACTCATGGAAGAACCTTGTGGTGCTCTCTCATCAAGACCAAAGAACTTGGTGTGGAAAACTAGAAATGTTTTCTGAAAGCCCAGTGTCCTGTTCTGCAGCTGCTTTAACAGCTGTGTAACTTGATTCTCAAGAGAGCATACAAGGCACTATTTTTGAAATATTTATTTTGTTATTTGATGGATGAAGGTAGTGTTGACTGGTAAGTTCAGGGCTGTTTGGATCTACGCCCTGAGATGCCCATCCAAAATATTGGTGTTGACCATGCATAGTGTATGTGTTTGGATGGCTACCAAATAATTGGTACGCCCTGGCCTACTCTGCCTTGCTAGTTCAATCCAGCACCAATTTGTTGGCGAGATGTGGGCGGTGGAATCGGCCACCAATAAATTGGCGCGCTGAGGCGGACCCTGGCGCAATCCAAACAGCCTCTTCATATTTCATTTCTTGAGCAAATGTCTCTGGTGTTTTATTGATTGTTTTTGTAACCAGTGGAAATATAAAATAGTAAAAAAAATGTCATTTCATATACACATGTCTAGTGTTCTGTTACCCAGCCAGCCTTGTTAGTGAATTTCCTGTGAATTGATGCAAATTGGTTTCGTCTCACCTCCCCTGGAAACTGAGCAATTAGGTGATAAATAAATAAAATAAATAGAAATATCTTACATAGTTCTATTCAGACAAATAATTGTCAGTGGATGCTATCCTCTATTTCCTTTGCCAAACGTTACATGTATTTCTTCAGTAGCATGCCTGTGCCTATAAGATTGTAACATGCTTTACCATACACTCCTGTAAACATTCTCTTGCTATCACTGCTTGCTTGCTATGCCATAATATATGCTACATCTCCTTGGCACTATCTCCGAAATGAGATATTCTAGACCAAACTTTCTGATATCATTGATCCTGCTGTATCCTATAATGCTTATTCTACCCACTACATTTGATTTATTTCTTGTTAGATGGATGATAATCGAAGACAAATTTCTGAAAGGATGTCTCAAGCGGACAATGAAGTGGTAGAGTTACGTGAGAGGGTCAAAAGTTTGGAGAAAGAAATAAAAGCCTCTACTAAAGGGATAAATGAAACCAAGTCTGAAAAGGACGATGCAGAGAAGAAGCGTACTGAAGCACTAAAGGTAGTTTCTCAGATTGAACTTGATCTGAGAGATTTAAAAGACAGAATTTCAAGTGGAAAACGAGCAAAGGTATGCCATGCTTGATCTTTCTCATGATGTTGAGTAACTTTGTTTCGTTGCCGGACTTAAAAGATCTATCGGCAGGATGAAGCCGTAAGGGAGTTAAATAGTATGAGGAAAGAAAGTGAAAAGTCAAAGTCTGAATTGGCTCAAATTAGTAAGGTGCATGCGGCCAAATTGAAGGAAGAGGAAGATATATCAAAAAGGTAAAATATAATATACACATATATACTTTCGACTTGTTGATAGATATTCCTATTGACGCATCATTTTGTGGGGATAGTATAATGGACCGCGAGAAGCGGCTGAGTATATTGTACCAAAAGCAGGGGAGGGCAACTCAATTTAAGAATGAGGCTGCCAGAGATGAGTGGCTTCGGAAAGAAATTCATGATCTTGAGCGTGTACTTTTATCAAATAGAAAGCAGGTATTCAACCAGTTACCTGTTTGATACTTGAAATTTCATTCTTGACCTTCGTTTTGATGTGCTATTCTACTTATTACTTGGGTTCGCTTGAATCTGCACTGAACCACCCTACATTAGAGTGTGTATTACTTCCTTCAGTCCAAAGCATTAGTCTTTTAGGACATGACACATTCTTCAATATGGTACTCTGTCCATCAATTTCTGTGCAAATATGGTGCCTCACATAAAAATAATTCTAAATTTGAAAATTCAATTCATGATATATCTAGTTATGTAAATTTGATAATTTGAATGTTAGTATTTTTTTTCTTTATAGATGGTCAAATTTAGAAATGCCTGACTGGTAAAACTCTAAAATGACTTTATTTGTGGATCAGAGGTGGTAGTTTGATCCATTTCAGGTTATATCATGATATACGAGTTTAGTGCCACAAGTCAAGATATAATCATTCCTATTTTTAGCTTTCACATTTCCATTGTTGATGCATAGCTGGTCCGTGGGCTGCACTTTTGCTTTTATGACAGGAAAGCTTACTTCAAGATGAAAGTCAGAAGCTTAAAGACGAAATTAATAAGTTGACAAACCACATTGAATCTCGGAGAAGTGAATCAAGCAAGTTAGAGGCTGTTCTTGCAGACAAGCAAAAGAATCACAATGACTTCACGAAGCAGAAAAATGCACTTCAAGATGAAAGGAAGTATGCACATTTCTTAGCATTCATAACCTTGTGATTTGATTCAAGATGTGTAGCTTTAGACTATATATACTTAGTTCAAATAAATTTTCACAGATCATTTTGGAAGGAGGAAACTAGTGTGACAGCTGAAATCGATAGGCTAAAGGAAGATCTTGTGAAGGCACAGAAGAGTTTGGACCATGCAACACCTGGGGTATGGAAATCATTTAGTTGTTCACATGTTCTATTGTTAACATTTCTGACTGCTACTGACTTACTAATTTCCAATGATTCCATTCTTGTTCCTATGTACACACTTGCATATTGCATCTTAGATATGCATCTATGAATGATTGCTGGATTGGAAACTGAATTATAACAAAAAAAAGGACACTCCCTTCTTAGTGACATAAAACGTCTTCCATTTGTTTACAGAGGGAGTATTTATTAATTATAGTTTGAGTGTGCTGTGCATTGATGGCCGGAGAAGCTCTGCTCCGTCAGCCTCGTCGAGCCCCCACGCTCGAGGGGGGAAGCTGCCGGGGAGCAAGGTCCCGGATCCGCCCGGGCTTTGCCTGGTGGGGGGCACTGGCACCAGCAGGGGGGGGGGCCCGGGGAGGGGTTGAACGTTGTTAAGAGTCGAGGGGACTAATGAACATTCCTTTAGACAGAAAGTTTTACTGAAACTCAATGGTCAGAAATCTGAATTGCAAAGCATAAACTGTATCGGTGATCTGGTGTCTAAAATGGCAAGTAAAAGGAGCAACTTCTGGTGACCTGACTCAAAATTTGCACGCCAAGAAAGCGAACCTTAAACTTTGTATGACATGCTTGGTAGCTTGCAACTTTAGCACATAATATCATGTGTTACCAAAAGCACATACGATTGTGATCATCATTTACGGTCTTGGTATCATTTCCTCATCGTTAGTATGAAATTGTGGTTACTGGTAAGGGGCAGAATAATTCGATGAGTTGGAGGGAAGAGCAACGATAGTTGTAAATCAAATGGCTTAGGTGTATTGTTATATACATTTAACAACTTCAAAAATATCTTATCATGGGTTTACATCAGTCGTACCTGACTTTGTGTTTATTGTCGCAACAGATTTCATGAATTTTGGAGTATATAGCATAGCCCTAAACCTGGTTTTGCAATTGCTAGACCTTCTCCTTCTAAATATTGAGCTATGCCAATTTTGTCATACTATGGCATTCCTTTTTACTTTAAGAACGGCTTAAAGCTATCTTTGGATGGTGTTAATTTTGTTTTCTTCCTCAGGATATCAGGAGAGGCCTGAATTCTGTTAGCCGAATCATCAGGGACCATGGTATTGGAGGAGTTTTTGGTCCAGTGTTAGAACTGGTTGACTGCGAAGAGAAGTTTTTTACAGCTGTTGAGGTCACTGCTGGGAATAGGTCTTGTTCTGTTTCTTTTTTGTCTTGATCCTTCACTTTCATTTCATCTTCTCTGTTATTGAATAACCCATATTTTCTGATGTGAATAGCTTGTTCCATGTGGTGGTTGAAAATGACGATATATCGACAAGGATAATTCAGGTATTGACTCGAGAAAAAGGTGGACGGGTGACTTTCATACCACTGAATAGAGTGCACGCTCCGAATGTCAATGTTCCACAGAGCTCTGATTTTGTTCCATTGTTAAAGAAGTTAAAGTTTCGTGCTGAGCATCGTCGCGCTTTTGAACAGGTGTCATTCAAACTTTCCTGTTATTTTTTCCTTCCAATGGATGTCTACATCTTTTATTGGGCTGCCATGGTTAATTTAGTTCAGGCTCAGTTCTGATCTATCTTCTTACCCTTCATCTGCATTACCAAATACCAATGCTGCCTTCACGTTATCATCTCTTCTGTTGCATGTATCCATCTTAGCTTTGTTTGCTTGGAGCGTTGACACCCAGCAAAATCACTTGAGTTATGAGTGACATCGCAGATTATTTTATAGTATATCCTTGTTTGGATACAGAAGATTTCATTCTAATTTATCTTCAGCTTCCAATTGGATGCCATGTTGGAGACATTAAAAATATAAATAAGGTGTTCACTACTCACTCCCACGTTCCCATTTATGCATGTTTTTACCTTTAGCGCACTTCTGTAGAGGGTTCATGCCATATGTACGTACTTACCGGGAAACCTTGCTCCTCCAGATTATGTAGCTTCCCTTCCTCAAGCACCTAAGCTAGTTTTTTCTGATAACTTTTCGTTCAAAAGTGTACTTCTTGGCTTTCATATGGTTCTTTTTCCTGCTTAACTTAGAATTTTCTGTTAGGTTTTTGGTAGGACAGTTATATGCCGAGACCTGGAAACTGCGACCAGAGTTGCACGCAGCAATAGTCTAGATTGCATCACACTTGATGGTAATCCTCAATTTTGCTCTTGAGCTGTCACTGTCATTATTACTTTTAACATATAAGTTGACATTGTGGTTATCCTCAGGTGATCAAGTAGCCAAAAAGGGTGGCATGACAGGAGGTTTCTATGATTCTAGACGCTCAAGACTGAAGTTTGTAAAAGTAATCAGGGACAACAAAGCAGAAATTGAAAAAAAGACGGCACATCTAGAGAACGTGGGAAAAAAGTTAAAAGATATCCTGCTTTAGTTCAATGATATTCCTGTTTCTCTTGCACGAGGCTAGTGCAAGGCCTCATGTTTTGTCCTTTTAGTGCCTGCTGCAGCTAAATATACACCTGCAACTGCTTCTTGCCACAGGTCCAATGGGCAAGTAGTTTAAGGTTATGTTCTACATTTGAATTTGAGATTCCTTGCATGCTGTGTTGCTCATTGTCATCACTCAGAAGAAGTATGAACACCACGTAGGTTTAATTCTTGCAAAATGTATGTGGTAATGATCTGGGATCCACCACACTTTATCAAATCATATGTATATGTCAATTGTCAGTTCAAAAAAGTTTAGCTTCTTGGAACTCATGACATCTCGCTGCTTGCTTCTATTTGTTTGTTTTCAATCCCTATAAATAATTGAATATGTGATGAAAAATTTACAACTTCTCCTAGATGTTTACTGCTTATCTGCAAGAGAGACATTGTACATCAAAGAATTTTCTTAACTCCCCATACATATAGATAAGAAAATTACGGATTTGATTACCAAACATCAGCAAATGGACGCTGAACGTGATCATGCCAAGTCAGAGTTGGAACAGTTTAAAGTTGATATTGCCAGTGCAACGAAGCAAAAGGGATCACTGGAGAAAGCCCTTGCAAAGAAGGTACCTAGTAATAATACCCTTTTTCATTGCTCATGTGGATTCCTCTTTTTATTATGCAGATCCTTTGCTGTTTATATACTCTTGCTGTAATTGTGTATGGAATGCGGTCTTATATTATCTACCTTGCAGGAAAAATCACTCGCGAACATCCGCAACCAAATTGAGCAAATCCAATCTGGCATTGCAATGAAAAATGATGAGATGGGCACAGAACTGATTGACCAGCTAACTTTAGAAGAAAGAGATCTCCTTTCGCGACTGAATCCTGAAATTACTAGATTGAAGGAGAAGTTCCTCTCGTGTAAAAACAGTCGCATTGAGGTTGTTTAAGCAAAATTTTGTAACCATACTTTTGTTTCCGAGATGTCATTATTAACTAATACAAACTATTATGTAGATTGAAACAAGAAAGGAAGAACTGGAGAACAATTTGTCAACTAATCTTATGAGGCGTCAGAAAGAGTTGGAAGCAATAATTTCATCTGCAGATTCTAAAATCTTGCCTGTTGAAGTCGAAGCAAAAGAGCAAGAATTGAAAGAGTCTAAGAGGACTCTTGATGAGGCGACAACAGTACTGAAAGGTATATATGCATCAATTGACTTCTCTTTTCCTTTTGTGTTGCACTAGGTGGAGTTGCCCCTTAACTCTTAAATGGTCCTTTGGGCAGCTAATGTCGATGCTATTAATGCCCATACAAGACAGATGGAGCAACTGAAAAAACAAAGGGATGATCTGAAGGTATTATATAGCTTTAATGTTTTCTTGGGTTTTAACTTATATAGCTACTGTTGACTTGTTATGTATCATGTACATATACACAGGCTCTTGAAGCTAATTTGGAGCAGACGGTGCAAGATGGTGCGAAAGATTTGGAACAGTTGATGAGCAGTAGGAGCACGTATCTTGTCAAGCAAGATGAGTGTATGAAGAAAATCCGAGATCTGGGCTCATTGCCTGCCGATGCTTTCGAAACGTATGTTTCCATTTTTCTTATGCTGCTAAACTGCCCGACTCATTTGCACAATGCCTGTTTGCTTGTGTTTGTTATGCTGTAGTAATTTTCAGCAGATAAATAAGGTGGTGTTATGAACTGTGTTAACTTGTTTTTTTCACCAATAACATAGGTACAAGAGAAAAAACAAGAAGCAGCTACAGAAGCTGCTCTATGACTGCAATGAGCAGTTGAAGCAATTTAGTCATGTCAACCAAAAGGCTCTTGACCAGTATGTGAACTTCACTGAACAGCGTGAACAACTGCAGAGAAGACGGGCTGAACTTGATGCTGGTGACGAGGCAAGCTTTTTGATCATTACAACCTGTTTCCCTTTTGATTGTCCTAAGACTAGAATCTCATAAAATCTACTGATTGGCATTGCAGAAAATTAGAGAGTTGATATCAGTTTTAGACCAAAGGAAGGATGAATCAATTGAACGCACATTTAAAGGAGTTGCAAGGCACTTCCGCGAAGTGTTCTCTGAATTAGTGCAAGGTGGTCACGGATACCTGGTTATGATGAAGAAAAAGGTTTCTATTTCCTTTTGCTTTAATCACCAACTTTGATTCTGTTTCTTTCACTTCTAGTTCCTTACTCACTCCATTTCTATAGGATGGTGATGCTGCCGATGATGACATGGATGAGGACGCGCCTCGTGAAGCAGATCCTGAAGGGAGGATAGAGAAGTATATTGGTGTGAAAGTCAAGGCATGTGTTCTTTGCAGAGATCTTTTATGTATTCATGCATATTTTATTCTAAATCCATCATAAAAATCCAAATGATGCTCTGATACTATTTCCAAGCTGTCCTGTAAAAAAAAAACTGTTCCCAAGTTATTAAACTCTTCCTGAATTACCATGGTGATGACTTCAAGGTTGTCTGTCTGGAGACTCATGCTTAGTCATGTTTCAGGTTTCCTTCACTGGCAAGGGAGAAACTCAGTCCATGAAGCAGTTGTCTGGAGGGCAGAAGACAGTGGTGGCATTAACACTGATCTTCGCTATCCAACGATGTGACCCAGCTCCGTTCTACCTGTTTGATGAGATTGATGCTGCTCTGGATCCTCAGTACAGAACGGCTGTCGGGAGTATCCTTTTAATTATTTCTTTCTTTCGCATTTTCATCCTCGCCATGGAGGAGCTTTCATATGCTTGTTTTCCAATGAATTCAATCCTCCATAATATCATGTCATACATCTAACGTTCTAGTGTCTGTCTAGCTGGGTGCATGCCCAACAATGCCTTCTGTGTTCATTAAGCTAAATCACATGGTATACAGCTGCTGCTGAGAATATCCATCCGAATCTTTGTTGCTGCTTTCCTTAAGTCCTGTTGTAGGCGTGGTTCGGCGTCTGGCCGACCTGGCGGACACCCAGTTCATAGCCACCACATTCAGGCCGGAGATCCTGAAGGTCGCGGACAAGATCTACGGCGTGACACACAAGAACAGGGTGAGCTTCATCAACGTGGTGTCCAAGGAGCAGGCCATGGACTTCATTGAGCACGACCAGACGGCCAACGCCAGCTGAGGCCGACCGAGGCACAAGGTGTTGTTCCTCTTTGCATTTTGAGTTATCTTGGCAGCTAATCATCATACGCAGTGGCTCGCTGACATCGCCATCTTTGTTTGTTTCCTGCAGCAAGATGTTTACACAGGAAAGGAAAGATAAGGGGGATTGTGTTGCCGTTCGTCTACTCCTGGACATTGCAGGCCACTGTTAATGTAGCTGTGTATATTTAGCTAGCCTTTGGATTGGTAACTTGAAGAAAGCGTAGGAGCCTTTGGATTGCTAAAACTTGTTTAAGTATATGGTTAGGGAGCATTTGCGTGATTGGAGATGTGTGTTTTTCGATTTGTCTATTTGTACCGCACTGTTGCAAAATTTGGCCCATCATCTCTGTTGTTTCATTGGCTACGACTGCGAGGGGTTAGCGGCATCTGGAACCTGCTGATAACCTGATAGATAAGAGTTATGTGTGTGGTTTGGAGTTATATTTGTCTCTAGTTGGAACTGAAGTTAGATGCAACAGATCTAGGTCATACAGTACTTTTAAGCCGTTGGCCCTGTGTGATCGGTAGGATTCTCTTCTGAAAACTAACACTCGAACATGTTAGGAATGATTCTCTTCTGAAGACTAAACGTTATAAATAGTTTTGTCAGTACGTGCCGAAAGAATAGAGACCATGACCATGATAATTTCTGTGTTGCTAAGTTTTTTGAGGGAAGACATCATGGTGACTTCATTCGGTTGACATAAAAGTTAAATTGTTTTTTTTGGAATGTTGGTAATTTGACTGCCAAATTCATTGATCAGTGGGAAAAGTTTGCTAATTGTGCTAAGATAAAAGATGTGTGTTCCTGCTGCCACATATTAGCAGCAGAAACCTTAGAAGTAGAAGCTAAAAGATGCGCAACTTTTTATAGGACAATGATCGAACTTGACAAGTCTTGAACAGAAAGGAGCATTCTTCATAAACTGCAGCTGCAACCCTTACTGAGTTGCCTCCGTTCTTGGTCGTGTCCACCACCTAATTCAGTCTGAATCAAGTAAAATTTTGTTGCAACCCACCTGTCCGCAAGGACCAGACCATTACACAGGGCAATTGCCTCCGCCATGGTTGCCGAGTCATGTGGGGTATTGTGCCGCTATAAAATTTCCATGATCATCACGTGGTGGGCAGAAGCACCATTCTCTAGGAAGCAACAATATTTGAAGAATAGTGCTCTATGCAAGCCAAAGATGTATCAGTGCAAAATCTTTGTAACATGATGTTTAATTGTAGCATAGTCTTTGTGACGGCATCACTTTATTTTTCTTTTACTGAAAGTATGGGGCCTGCAATTTTTTTTAACACGATACAGACGCAAGCGCTCATATACACACGCACACCGTATCCCTATGAGCACCTTCGAAAGACTGAGCCGGCATATCATCTTGAATGCATTTTGGCTCAAGTAATTAAATGCCTAGAAAAACATGTTTTTTTAGAGACACGTTTTGGGCCGAGAGGCCGCCGCAGTTGTGTTTTATTCTTGGGCCGAAGATGCGGGAGACACGGAGCTGACAGCAGAGTGTCCCCCTTCCGGGTTCGGCAGCTCGCCTCCACCATCTCGTACGCGCCGCCGCCGCCGTCGTCCCGTCCGTCGCCGCAATCCCCATCGCGCTTTGAGGTGCAAGGTTTGTCGCCCTCCTCCCCTCTCCTTCCCCTAACCTTCGGCTCGAGTAAGGGATCCAGGAGGACCACATCTCATCAAAACCCTAAGCGAACAAACTGCCTCTGCCATTCGCAGCAGGAGCAGCCCGCGCACCGGGGTACGGGATGAAGAAGAGGAAGAAGGTGGAGGAGGACGAGGAGCAGAAGCAGCCGGCGGCGGAGGAGAGCTCCTGTGGGGTCGAACTGCTGCCGGAGATCCTCCGGGAGATCCTGTCGCGGGTGCCGTACCGGTCGCTGTGCCGCTTCAGGTGCGTGTCGAAGGCGTGGCTGGCGCTCTGCTCCGACCCGGCCGTCCGCAGGAGGTCGCCGCAGACGCTCTCCGGCTTCTTCTGCTACTCCCAGCACGACGTCGGCGGCGGCCAGCGCCGTGACGCCCTCGGCTTCCTCAACCTGTCCGGGCGGGGCCGGCCGCTGGTCGACGACCCCTCCCTCCGCTTCGTGCGCGTGCGCGGCTACTGCGACGTCACGCCCCTGCACTGCTGCGGCGGCATCCTCCTCTGCTACTGCGAGAAGGCGGCCATGAGCGACGACGGGAACTACGTCGTGTGCAACCCTGCCACCAAGGAGATCTGGGCCGTGCTGCCCGTGCCCCGAAACAAGATCATGACACGCCTCAACACCGCCCGCCTCTGCTTCGACCCCGCCGCCCCCGGCCGATTCGTGGTGTTTGTGTTCGTGCAAAGTTTTCGCGGGATTCAGACGGTGGAGGCCTATTCCTCGGACACTGGACGGTGGACCTCCATGCGGAGCGAGTGGAACCCCAAGACCCTCCTCCTCGGTGAGGATTCAGAATGCGTCTTCTTGAACGGCACTTTGCATTTGGTCGACGCCGACCATTCTGATGCCGATTTTGACTGGGAGGGGAACCTGATACGCTGGATGGTGACTGTGGACATGGAGGGTAAAACATGGAGGAAGATCCGAATGCCGGATTCCATCTATAATGGTTTCATCGGGCAGTCGCAAGGACGCCTATACGCAACGCATGTTGAAACTGAAGGTAGATGCCGGCTATCCGTTTGGGTTCTTGAGGATTATGCCAGCGGACAATGGACCCTGAAGTGTACTGCCAGCATTTTAGAAATGCTAGGAAGGCCTCACCATGAGCCCGGCGAACACTACACGCTGATCGCGATCCATCCAGAGTGCAGTTTGATCTTCCTAGTAGCGAGCCGTGGAAAAACACTTATGTCGTACGATATGGATACCAGTAAACTGAGTATTATCTGCACTTTCGGAGACCGCCAGCCACGAAGATTTCAGCCGTACATTCCGTGTTTTGCGGAGAAGCCTAAATAAATTTTGGAGCAGCTTCATGTTTGCTGAGCAGGCATGGCTCCAGTGACTTCATGAGAATCAGATGTTGGTATGGCCCAGATTTCCTTGATTTAGGGTGGTGGATTGGATAAATCCTCTTTCTATCCATTTGTTTATTTCAAGTAACTGTAACTTGTTATCCATCACTATCCATTTATTTAGTTTAAGTAACTGTAACTTGTGATCCATCACAGTTAAATCATTGATGTCACCCTATTTTGATGCATCTGAGAGTAGTATCCTGTCATATGTTGTTTGAAATGGATGTCTCCTTTGTACTCCCTCTGTCTCAAAATGTAAGACAGAGGGAGTACAAAGGAGACAGAGGGAGTAGTAATTTAATACCTTGGAATCTTGAATCAACTTGTCTAAATTGGTGTACATATATACACACTGGGAGATCCCCTGCGAAATATGCCTGCATGGTGTCAAAGAATACCAAATAGGTGCACAACTCATTCAGTGATACCACTATTTGTAGTGAAGATTGGTCATGTAATGCCACACATGTTCAATGTTCATCACCATCACCCTTGCCCCATAGTGGCCTTGTTCTGAGTAAACTGTCCATGGTCAGTATAGTTCTGCGACAAATTCCTGAATATACTGTCATACCACTGTCATATGCAGTAGCTTTGTATGTAGTTCACGAATCAGGAGCATGTCCCGCGGATTTTTTTTAATATACTTAGGAGCATTTGTAAACTTTGATACAGTTACTGTGTAATGGTATGCTTGTCATCGAATAGGGATAACAACATGAATAAGAATGCATATAAAAAATATATACTTTGTTGTTTGTGACGTAAACTATGGAAATAAATTTGAATGCAAACTTCAATAAAAAGAAAGATCTTTGGTTTCCTTTTGAGATTGGAGTTCATGTCCATATGAGAGGTTTAGCTTGACCAGCAATTGATTATTATTTTCATTGGTTGTTTAAATTATTCACGTCATCCTTTTCTGATGCTTTTGAAAGCAGTGTGCTCTCATATGCTATTTGAAATGGAATCCTGCATCAACTTGTTTAAGTTGTTGTACATACAAACTGGGAGATTCCTTCAGCGAAATCTGTTTGCATGGTGTCAAATAATAGCAGTGCATGCTAGTCTGAGAACAGAATTGTATTTTATTTGCTTTTTGGGGGAAGATAATAACACAACTCATCCAGTGATACCACTGTTCGTAGTGAAGATTGGTTATGTAATGCCACACAGGTCCATTGTTCATCACCAGCACTCTTAACACCCTATAGTGTCCTTGTTCTGAGTAAATTGTCCATGGCCATTTTAGTTCTGCAAGTAATTCCTGACTAGACTGTCATACCGCTGTCATATGCTGTGGCTTGTATGTAGTTCATGAATCAGGACCATGTTCTTATAAGAGTGTACTGCCCAGCTGATTTTACAAACTGGATGATGAATCTTCCTGGCTATTTAACTGAGCAAGTAATTAGCATCCATTTATAGTAAAAAACTAGAAGGATAGGTATATCAAACCAGAAAGATCTATCATCCAGGAAGTGACTTCAACATGACAGTTCTTGCTTGACCTAGTAAGTGTTTATAACTTCAACGAAATTTAGTGGCGAGGTCTCTCCTGCAGTCGCATGTTCAAACATTTATAGCAAAATAAAGAAACGACAGGTATATTACCAGAATGTATTCAATGTAATAGTATGATGCAAGCATGGCATACAGGGTCATTTCTCCATTTATTCACACCATATATGTACATTTTAGCACACTCATGTTGAAGCCATTTGTAAACACTGAGGAATGCTGTTTTAAAATAAATAAAAACTAAGGAAATCATTCACATGGCATTGGGACAAAGTGACGATCTTTTGCATCATTTATAACACTAACCTCAATTTATTGACCCGAGATTTCAACACATCGATACAATTTATTCTATCACACAACAGGATCCTTTGAAGTCCGAAGCCAAGATTGTAATGCTACACTTTTAAAACAGAACCAAAAAACATGATAT